ATCTTGAATAAAAATAAATTATAAGCCCTATAAACACATGATTAAAATGTAGTTTCAAAATATAATATCACTGATTAGCGTCGATTGGATAATAGGTTGAACGTGACGGTCTGAACAGTGTCGAGTTAAGAAAAAAAATGAAAGACAGACTGTCTGGAGGTTCGAAAAGCAATGACTGAGAGAGGGTGAAAAAGAGAGAAGAGAGAAGGTTGGACGAGTTTGGTCGGGTGGGTGGGCGCAGTGCGACAGGTGTGGGGTGGAGAAGAGTAGACAACGATTGAATTTGGAAAGATGAGATGAGACAAAGTTGCAAAAAAGAGATAAGAAAAAAATATATATATTATTAGAGTTTAAAATTTAATTTTAAATTTAAATTGGATAATTATGAAGAAAAAAAAATATAAATTAAAAGTTAAAATTTAATAATAATAATAATATGTAATATTTTAAAATATGAACTTTCTATTAATAGGGGTTTGAGTAGTTGCTCACCTTGCTCATGCTAAGAGCCGCTCCGATTGCACATATAATTACTTTATATATAAAGTCAAATGACAAAAATGTCAAAACTTTTTACAGACTTCCACTAATTAATAAAATACTACTCCCTCCGCCCCAAGTTGTATGTCTGGGTCACTATAGACGCGAAAATTTAGGATAAGTATAATTAATAGATAATTAAGAATGTATTAGTGAAAATAATATAATATAAATAATTATAGCTTAAGGTTAAGATAACTAATTAGTTTAATTAAAATTAAAAAAATTAAATTAGAAAATTTAAAATGAGGTTATGTATAATCATTTTCCAAACAATGAAAGTGACATGAGAGGTTGGACGGACAGGACAGCAATGTGAACATGGTAAGTGGGACGAATTGAGTATTATTTCTTAATTTACTACAAAATCCCAAGAAATCCTTTCGGTTGAAACGAAGAGAGTATCATATACATATATATTAACATAATATATATAAAAATTCAAAGAACAATAAAAAAAATTATCAATCAAAACCCGACAAAATTTCCTCTAGCACACAAGACTTAAGGATCTGACTCAAAATCTAACACTCAAATGAGGAATGTCTCACGTTTAATTTACAAGAATTTTCTCACCTTGTATTGATGTTTCAGTATTGATGATACGGATTTAGTCATCGAGTTTTATATTTTTATTAGTAGTCGTATGTTATGGATTTATGCATCCATTTTTATTTATTTATTTATTTTTATCGGGAAATTATATTTTGGATTTAGTCATCTAGTCGATTTCTTTGATTAGTAGTATGTTATGGATCAATTTATGAATTTATGCATTCAAACGATTGTTACTCGAATGTTATGGATTTATGTTCGGGGCGACGCCAATCATATCATGTAAAAAACTCAATTATTTTAACCATGAAGTTTGAGCAACTAACATAATTAGGATGAAACTATAATTATACGGAATACAAAGCGCACGACTATTTGACGCTGTTACGAACATAAACACAACGCATAGCACCTACTATCCGGCTAAACAAGAGCTTCAAGATAGTAATCACGACTACAACAGAACCTACAATTCCATGTATTCCATCTGTTTGGAGGTTTGGATTTTGGATTATGATTTAAATATTAAAATTTTTTAATTTGAATAGTTGTATGATGCGATATAAATAGGTGTTGATATGATATTTTGAATGTAAAATAAATTTTTAATATACATAAAAATGAATAATAAGTGTTTAATAGGGTGTGTTTGTTTGAAGGATTCCAAAGGATTTGCACAATTCACGCAATTTTTCCTAAAAAAATATCAAATCAAACACCTATTTTTTATTTTTTATACTCTGTCTGTCCATTAACAATCTATCCATTTAACAAAGTATTCATTTTCTTTTTTTTAATAATTGTACTATCTATTTAACATTATAAATATCTTTCTAATTTACAACATATCATACAACATTATAAATATCTTTCTAAATATCATTACATTTATATCATACAATACTAATAAAGTTAATTTGGTCTTTTTGCGTTTATTTTTACTACATCCCAATATAATACTAATATTTCTAAAACTCCGTGCAAAACACAAATGAATATATAGATATGGAACAAATGGAGTATTATTCTAAAAATCACATTTACATTCACAACACCACATCAATATTTAATTTCACGATTTCAACAGCAACAACCACTACAAGAAAATGTCAATTCTATAACTAGGTTTTTTCGTTTCTAAATCCATTTTTTCCGTTACTAATAATATTAGAGACGGAATTAGAGATAAAATTACGTTAGCTACATGAACTTTAGAAACAAAATTCAGTTACAAATATACTATTTTTTTTTTTGGTAGTGAACAACAAAAAAAAAAGGTCAAATTTTTAGGTTAAATTGACATGATCACAAATTTTTACCAAGAAAAATGCAAAATAATAAGAATAACCTACCTCGGCCTTAAGATTTCGAAACCAACAAAAATCAAAATTTCATGAAAACAAATAAACCAATTTTAAACCTAAAAAATGACATATTGTTCAAGATCGACCTACCAATTGGACCAGAAATTCGAGCTCCAACAATGGTTATTTATAAAAGAGACACGACTGCCTTCTAACAAAGGATGTAAGAGTTCTTTTGTCATTTCATTTACTCATAGCTTTAATTAAATTTGTAAAAGAAATTCACAATACAAGTGTTTGAATGTCAATTTCCATCGAATACTAACGGTTGCGGGATTATGTGCAATGTTTTATATAACTACAAGTGAATTTTTGTCGTCGTCGTTGTTGTTATTATTATTATTATTATTATTATTATATGTGAATCTGTAGTTGATCGAATCTAATAATATATCTGCAAACTAAGACTGATAAGGCAAGTAACAAATTATGTATAATAAACAAGACTTAAGGCGTTGTAAATATAAGAGTTATTGTTATTTTGCCAAATATAAAATTATATAGGAGAAGTCTCTCTATGTATATATATTTATATATATTATTCTACAGTCGATATTAGTTCAGTAACATGAAATCTTACCACGTCTTATATTGTTTTCACTTTATCTCATCCACATTTATAATGAAAATTGTGGATAAATAATACTCCCTCCGTCCCAAACATTTTCTTTCTTGTTTGTTCCAAATTCACTGCAATATTTCCAAATTTAGAAATAATTAATAATATTTATATACATATGTTAATATACACTTCACTTTATCTCATCACATCACTAAAATAAAAAATAAATAAATAAGCATTTTTCTCTCCAATCACATCACTTAATATCCAAATTATCTCAAATTACCATACTTAATACTCTCCACCGAAATTTCTGTGCCAAACACAAATGTTGTATGATGTTTAGGATGGTTTATAAAATTAATAGGCTATTAAAGGTTGATCTAATATGCAATAATTAAAGAGTAGCAACGTTAAGTCCGCAAATTATATATATATATATATATAAAGTGGATAAGTAATTATTTTTTATCAAACAAATTCGATATAGATACGATGTTAGTTGACGATAAAAAATAATATTGAAACTATACATTTAAAATTATCACAAATAATTTGAATTAATTTATCGATGTCAATCATCCTATTTTAAAACTTTATAAGATCATGTATGTTTTACATGTATAAATATACATATATATTATTTTATGGTTAATTATTTTACCATACTTGATTAAAATAATTCATTTACATTTAATATTGAGTTTGTTCACACAATTTATTTTTGGATGATGATTCCGTATAAATATTATTAAAAGATACAATATATAAAAGATATAATTTATTTACCTATAAATATCGATAATTCTAACACAAAATATTATTATTATTATTTTATATTATCAGCTTGATTCCTCGACATACAAAATATGTTCATTCAAAAACAGAAAACGCCAAATATAACTAAACTAAATTACATTCAACATCGCATGATTATGTATAGTATAAATTAATATAAATTGTTCGTATTACCGTAGATACGAGAATTTATGTAAAGTATAATTAGTAAATAATTTAAAAATATATTAGTAAAAATTATTATTGTATAATAAAAATAATTATAGATTAAAATTAAAATAACTAAATAAATTATGAAATTTAAAATATAATTAAAGTATATAATTATAATTTATTAAAAAAATAAATTATATATGTGATATGGACCGAAACAGAAAAAAAATTAACATTTTATGTGGGATGTAAGACGGAGGATGTATATAGCTAATTAAAATGACTATATACGTCTTATATTATAAGTCATTTTTCATATGCATGTATGCTTTCATTGTAGGGTTTTTTATTATTATTATTTGTACAAAATGAATATACATATATATATATTAAGTTGATATGTTCTTTTAGTATTTTGGAATTTTCTAATTATTGAAAATTGTGAAAAATATTACTCTTTTTTCCACCAAATGTGTTTCCATTTTTTTGTATTTTACAAATACAAAAGAAATAATTAAGAATATTTTTGGTGGAGGAAAAGGAGTTTGAAGGATTGTGACATTGTTTTGATGAATTAATCTTTGTTTGTTTGTTTTTTTTTTTTTTATAATATCTTGTGATCTAAAATAATAAATCATTCAAATTTATTTTTATTTACTTTTTTTTTATTCTCATCTAAATTTATTTATTTTTTATTTTTAAATAAAAAATAACCATTAACTTTTATATATTTTCTTTAGTATAAAATAAAAAAATTTCTATTTTTACTCATTTTTCTTAAAATTCCATACTCGGTCAAATGAGAATAAAATTTGATAATGGATGGAATATATATTTTTATAAAGAATATAAAGAATTTTTAAAAATAATGAAAATGACAAAAAAAAAATAAAAAAATCTAATTAATGTATTATTTAATTAAAAATAAAGTATTAATTGTAATTTTTATATTAATAAAAATTATATGAATAATACGGAAATAAAATTAAACTTCATTAATATATATATATATATATATATATAACAGGTAAGGGAAAACACAATGCATTAACATTAATATAGAGTCACGTAGGGTGACTTTTACAGTACAGTACAGTAGAGTACATGTGACTGGCACGTGTAAGAAAAAACATTACAACGTAAGATTGAACCTAAGTCGATGGATATACCCAAAGGGCCTCCAAAGTATTTATTTATTTTTTAAATTATTATTACATACATACACATATATATATATATAATATATGTATATATATGTATGTCGTCTATCTCTTCGAAAAGTCACGTGGGGAGTGTCTGCATATCTGAAATGAGCTTCAACGAACCCTGCAAAATATTATCAATATATATATATATATATCAATACAATGAAGTTTTGCGATTGAGAAATTTTGAATTAAAATAATTATTTGATTTGATATTTTGAATGTAAAATAAAATTTTAATTTAATATAATAAATAAATAATAGGTATTTGATTTAATATTTTAAAAAAAATATATAGTAAAAGCGGTGTAAAATCCCCCGGTAAACAAAATATACTGTAGATTAAGTTGAGAATATCCCAAATTAAAAAAATATTGAAAACTTCTTTGGTTTATAGTAGTGAAAGACAATTCAATATAATACTCTCAACTCATTTTGAAATAAAGCTAGAATCACTTTGTAAGATACTCCGTCTGTTCCAAAATTATAGTCTTATTGTGTTGGGTACGAGATTTAAAGAATATTGATATTATATTGATAATTGGTAAAAAATTAGCATAAATGACCTTTTTGCCCTACAGTATATTAGTGTAAAAACTAGTGGCAATTGTGTAATAATAATAAAAAAGTATGGATAATTTTACGGTGATTTGGTTATTTATGGAAATAAGACTATTGTTTTGGGACGGACAAAAATGGTAAACAAGACTATTATATTGGAGCAGAGGGAGTATTAAATAACTAATAAAATTTCTCTTCGTCCGGACTTTTTATGTCACATTATCATGTCGGTGTGTTTGTTTGAGGATTTGGATTTGAAGTTGGGATTTAAACAGTAAAATTTTTTATTTGAATAATTGTATAATTTCATATGAATAAATATTTGATATGATATTTTAAATATAAAATTAATTTTTAATATAATACTATAAAAGAAAAAAAGAAAAATCATGTGAAGTTTGTCAAAATAACACATATATAGTAGCAAAAGTAGAAAAGATATTTAAAAAGAGTAAAAAAGTAGTACTATAATTTTTTACTTCCACAAAAAATGAAAAGGAAAACAGTAAAAAAAATGACATAATTATTGCGGATAAAAATAGTATGTTTTAACTAAAAATATTTTAAATAAAAAATAAGTATTCGACAAAAACCATTTAAAAATAACATTTTAGTTTCCACAAGGAGATCTACTAACCTCGAGCAATCGACGTTCGTGCTTATCGGGTAGCCTACGTTGACACCGCACTTTCCGGGGAGACCGGCAGCTTTGCCAACAAGCCCGGACCTACCCGCGCCAAGTTTCTTTAAGCAATTGCACGCAGCTTGTCGATCCCCGGTGGTTCTGGCGGCGGCGTTGAGGCTTCTAATCCCGCCGCAGCACGCCGCTGGGGGAGTAGTACCGGGTCCAGTTAGATAACCTATGCATTGGCTGACGGCGCTGGCCACTGCCCCGCAACTTATTGCAGCCTCGCCTCGAGGGATAGCCGAGGCGATAAGCGCCACTGCCATTAAAATTGCGAACGTTGTCTTTCCCGCCGCCATGTATAATTTTATTTTCAAAAAGATTTTTTTTTTTTTTTTTCTTTTTGTTGTTGTTTAAAGCAAATTTAATTTCTTTTTTGGTGGTGTTGTGTAGAGAAATGTTTTGGTTTTGGTGAGGTTTTTATAGAGGAGAAAATTTTATTGCATGGTTGGAGGATTGATGGGAATGTGGTTGGGGGTTGTTGGTGTAAGCCATAAATGTTGCAATAATTGGTGCAATATTTTTTTTGTATCAATCAACATTTCAAACTTACAACTAAGAGAGGTAAGAGTGATGTGATTTGCATCCGTTTGATTTGCGACGATTACAGTGCTGATTTTAAAAAAAATAAAAATTAATATATTGATTAAGAGTTTAGACAGCACGGATTAAGAGTTCAAATAGCATGTACTGTATTTAAAATGTGTATTTAATGTACTATTGTTGGTATTTTTTGAATTTTTGTCGGTGTTTTATAAACTCTTGAATTGATGTTATTTAGGGAAGTAGTAACACAATATAGAGCGTAATATATACGAGATATACTTCTATAAAACAACATATAAGGCACAAAATATACGTCTATAGAGCACGGTATATATTCTATAGAGTATTGGATATATTTCGTTAGTTTAAAAATTAAATATATAACACACGCTCTTATTTTAGAATGCACTGTACTATCGGCACTAAAGATTGATGTTATTTGAACTTTCAACCTGTGCTTTTTGAAAAAATTAACACGGTGCTGCACATAATGAAAGCGCATTGATCGGGATTTATATTTTTAAAATTTTGATTCTATTTATTGACTATATTTCTTTTTAATATTAAATCAAATATTTATTTTATTTTATAAAATAGTATATTGAAGTTTTGAAAATAATAAAAAATTGAATATTTGATATGATATTTTATTAAAATATATATATCTAAAATACTTCATATGTCAACTCATAAAATATATATATATTTTATTTTCTTATAACGTGGGAATCCACAGCCGCTATCCGTAAGTGCGCACTGGGTAAGCCTCCGGCCGAACCTAATATCCTGCAAATTAGGCGCAACAGACAAGTCACATTAGAATTCATAAAGTATACTTTATTTTGAGTTGTCCAATTATAAAGTAACTATTTTTTTATTAATTATAAACTCCATTTTCTTCTACAAATATATTTATTTTATCGTCAAATTATTATTTTTACAACAAAAAAATAAAAGCAAATATATCTTTATATTACTTTTAACTATTTACTACAATTAAAATATTATTACTTTTTAGATATTGCAACCAAAGTAAATATTACTCTTCAAATTGAATGGATGAAGTATAAAATTAAATAATATATACTCCATCCGTCTCAATAGAATAGTCCTATTTACTATTTTTGTCTGTCTCAAAACAATAGTCTCATTTCCATAAATAACTATATCACTATAAAATTACTCTTATATTTTCATTATTATTACACAATTATTACTACTTTTTACACTAATACATTCACAAGGGCAAAAAAATTTTTTACTCGTACTTTTTACTCACTACCAATATAATATCAATATTTTTTAAATTTCGTGTCAAACACAACTTAGACTATAGCTATGAGATGGAGAGAGTATAAAATATTTTATAAAATCTTTATAATAATGGAGGCTAATTTGTCAGGGTAAGAGTACATAATGGTATGGTCTTGTTCAGCAATCAATGTATAAAAACAAGATTGATTTTTAAATAAAATAAAATAAAAACTCGTAAAAATATATTGGGCAATCACTTCTTAACCTTTCATAGATTATCTTCTTACCTTAAACAGCACCGACATAAAATATAATAAAAAAATAATTAAAAATTAGAAGTTTGTTTGATTTTAATTTAAAAATTATTTTTTTATTAAATTTTTATTTAAATAATATTTTAGTTTAATATTTTATTAAAAAATAATATATTTTTAAAAGTCTGTTTGATTTTAGGAGAAAAAATTATTATTGATCTCAATATAATCAAAACTCATTATTTTTGGTTCAATATCACCAAAATTCATTATTTTTTGTCTCAATATAAAATTTTTATAAATTTTAGTCTCAATATAACAAAAATTCATCATTTTTTGTCCCAATATAATTAAACCTTATCTCTTTTTTTTTGTCCCACCGTTAACAAACCGACGAAAAATGCTGACGTAGACTTGCAAGATTGTACAATTTTTTCAAATATAAATATAATGTTTGATTTATTTTTACGTCAGCATTTTCCGTCGATTTGTTGACGGTGGGACCAAAAAAAATAAGGTTTGATTATATTGGGACAAAAAATGATGAGTTTTGGTTATATTGGGATTAAAATTTATAAAAATTTTATATTTGGACAAAAAAAATGATGAGTTGTGGTTATATTGAGACAAAAATGATTAGTTTTGATTATATTGGAACCAAAATTGATAAGAATTTTATATTGAAACCAAAATTAATAAATTTTGATTATATTGGAATCAAAAATAATTTTTTCCCTTGATTTTTATTTTAAAATTATTTTTAATTTAAATAATATTTTAATATAATATTTTATTAAAAATAATATATTTTTATCGAGAACCGTATAAATTATAAATATTTTTTTTTGTTTGAAATAAAAAACTATCCTGAAATTTTAATTAATATAATAATAAAAACAATCTATGGTTGTGTTTAGTTTTCTTTTTAAGATTTTTTTTACTATTTACTATTTCTTTTAGATAAATATCAAACTAAATTTGTATATTATATTAAAAACACATCAACTTATATATATATATATATCATACTTCATCCGTACACAAATTAACATCTTACTTTCCTATTTAGAATGTTCAACAATTATTGTCTCTTTGTATTTTTATTAACAAAATTTACTATTTTACCCTTACTTTATTTACTCTTTCATTTAAGGGCAAATTTGTCATTTTATAACAAAAAACTCTAATGGCCTAAAAATACGTGTAAATATCAAATAGAACATTAAAAAATAGACATAGAGAGTATTAATTTTTTTTTTAAATTTTTACTATTTAAAATTTAAATCTAAACAAACAAATACTCTCTCTATCCTAGTCAAAATATTCGTTTTTTATTATAGTAAAAATAATTACACTAATTCCAAAATGTTTTTTAATTTTACATAAACTATAAGGATACTATTACATATACAATTAATTTATAGATAAAATAGAAAGAACAAAAATATCAAAATAATCTTAAACACTTCCATTAAGTAATATATTACTATTATTTATTAATTTATTATAAAATTCCAAAAAAACTGGAAGAAGATAATAACATTTGTATTTAAATTATTGAGTGAATATAATATATCATCTATATTCTATTAATGTATGTATATTGCATATTTGAATAATATTTATAAAAAAACTATTCCACCTAAAATAGCAAGTGAACATACACAATTAAATTGGACAAATAAAAATATACATATAACTATAACAGAAAAGAAAAAAAAAGTTAATATAATATTTTTAAAAAACCTATTATTGATAAATAATATGATATTTTAAAAAGTAAATATATAAACTAAAGACTAAATATTCTTAAGTGAAAATAGATATTAGAATAAAATTTGCAGCTACTTAAAACTAGTCAATAATTTTATATTCACTGTATTGTGTTACTAATTACTTTTAAATTTAGGAATAAGTCACATCACACACCCCAACTTTCTAGAAAAATTTGGAGAATGTTAGGCCAAAAAATAAAATAAAATAAAAATAAAAATAAAAACAAAAAATAGTTAAAGATTTGGAGAATTTGTTTATTTGTGGAAATTCTATATACTATTATTTTGTATGATCATAAATTGCTCGTTAAATTTAATTTATGTATAGAATTTGTTTATTTTTGGGGTTTTTTACTTTATATAATTTTAATACTTTTAATATGAAATAATTATTGAATGTATTTTATATATTTGAATTAAACACATCATACATATAGATATGTATATGACTTACCATTATTTTTTGCATCATAATATGGTCGATCTATTTATGAAATCATATTGACGAAGACACGGAAAGTCCAAATTTGTTGCCACGGCGCGCACCAACAAAGTTTTCATGCTCAAATGTTGATGATCGACTATTTAATTTATTAATTGAATTGGGACCGTGGAATAGTTAATTCGAGCGTCCTTATATACATTTGTTTCCACACATGAATTCAAAGGGCGATAGATTTTAGATGTATTTGTGACATGTCACATTTGAGAATTAATTTCATCGCAACAATTGCGATAATGAATGTAATAATTGCGAGAGTTTGGAGGTAGTTGCTTTGTTAAATATATGTCACGATTCGATCAACTCAGACAACGACATTGCAACAATCACTCGCCAAATGTACACTTGTAGATAACTATACTCGTCGATGTTTGAGGTTCTTTAGGGATTATGTGTGTATTCACGATAATTTTTTCGGGTTTTTTTTTTTTTAAAAAAAAATTATATGTTAGTATTCTTATAACATGTGTTGATTCGGTCAAATCAGCGTTATACTAACTTAATCGAATCAACAACTGATCCAATCCCAAATTCAATTCTATAAATATCTTACTCTGTAGTACTTTTTTATATAATCTTTTGATTCAAAGTATAGTAGAATTTTAAAATTGGCAGCGTCCTCAAAGGTAAAATCAATTTAAATCGAACTGTATAGCTAAACTTTTGTATTAACAGCACCCTCAAACGTAGATTATTTTAAATTGAAATTGCTTATGATACTCGGTAGAGAACATATGTTTTCAAATAACTCATAGTGTGTTATATGGACATATTTATTGTATTGAGATCAATGATAACATGTGTTACCGTAAATTATTATAATGCGTTTTTAGTTTATATAATATATTTGTATTATATTAATATAAATGATGTATTATTATCATCCTATCATATATTGTACACTGTAAGGTAATGTCTTGTCATAGGATATAATAAAAATCAATAAAAATATACTTTTTTTGTCCAAACTCAAAGTATTATTTTTACCATTTTGTTTGTCTAGTACAAAGTATTTTTTTCTTAATATAGTAAGGGTGTGTTCGTTTGCAAGATTTTGCAAAAT